TTGCAAGATGGAGCCCTTGGCGCCTGGAATTCCCCTCGAGTAATTTCCCTTCCCCGTCTCTTTTTCTTCTTTGATTTGGTTTATTACTCTTTATGGTTTATCTCCGGGCGGACTGTTGTGTGTGAGAGGAGGGGGGGTCCGTCTCTCCCCTCTTTGCCGCAGCATTTATTCATTTATTTAATGGCCTTTTACGACCTCCAGCTGCTTTTCTAGGTGTCGGTTCTTGTCGGTTTGAGGGTGTTTATTTATTATTTAAAAAATATCGGTAAATATTATTAATATCAATTGTGGAAAAAAGGCCCATATACAACAATGTCCACGTTTCACAAGCTTTGTGCGAAGCTAGACCGGATAGCTTCCACACAGCATTACACAGCCGATGAAATGATGCCACCCGACTAATTCAGTGAGACCTCTGCTGTCAAACCAGAGCTGGTCATAAGCACACTGCCCGGGTATGGGAAACTTTCCACTCTCTCCACTACTGCTCCATCACCAATGGGAAGCTGAGGTGGTGGAGTGTTTGGTGGCACAACATACCCAGGCAGGTGCTTAGTTTTGGTAGGGCTGATGGTAAGACCGACCCTTAAGACACAGACACGCACAGTCACACACACAGAGACACACACTCCAAACGACCCCGCGTGTAGCCTTAACAGACTGTTGGGGCACGTTCTGTTCACGAGCACCGCCTATGAGGGCCGGCACGCCACACGAGAAGGTGGATGGCTCACACCACGCCTGGACGCCTCCATTTGAAGCAGAGTCAACCTAGAGGAGGCCCATGACCGGTTTACATAATCGTCACCGGTTTTGGTCATAAGCAAGAATCAAACTCAGGTCTGTGCTTTTAATGCTAACCGCTCCCCACACAACCGCCATTCGACACCAAGTAGCGGTGACGTCACCACGGCGCTTGTGCCAGGCTATGTGCACGTTAAGGCCATGTGAAGTGTCGAACGCTCACTGGCAGATCACGGCACGGACCCAGGTGCCATGAGCTGATGGAGATGGCTGGCCGATGCACCACCTGTGACCCTACTGTGCCAAATTGCTGGGGGGTGGGATGGCACGTGCCCCCCCCCAATGATCCGATCGAATTCCCTAATTTCGATCGGATCATTGGGGTTTATTAGTAATAAATCGGCATTTTGCGACCCCCACTGCCACTGTGTAGCATATTATAAAGTGCCAGGAACTCTATGAGATGAAAGGACAATAGTCCCGAGTCCATAATTGGCAATAAGTAATGGCAAAGCAGTTGTGACCAGCAGAATTGTGCGCAGTCGCGTATAGAGTCCACGACTTCCCTGAAGGCATCAACACCTTCAGCGAGCGCGATGCCAATCAGTAACAACGCGGTTCAAATTCGACCCTCGATCGATGGCTGTGCCATCGTCGCACACGCGTCGAATAAAAAAGCAAGGGACAAGTCCTTACTAACAACTCATCTTCTTTGGTTCTTTCGGTAAAGTCACGTAGAATGAGAATAAAATAATAAAAACAATAAAATTCTCACGTTTCGGCCACAACACAAGTGGCCTTCTTCAGGTGAAAGGAACAAAACTGTCGGGACAGAGCTACATGGGTTTGTTCCTTTCACCTGAAGAAGGCCACTTGTGTTGTGGCCGAAACGTCGTGAGAATTTTATTGTTTATTTTATTATTTTATTCTCATTCTACGTGACTTTACCGAAAGAACCAAAGAAGATGAATCCTTCAGTCACGAAAGCTTTAAATCGATACCAACAACTCCTCTATCATTGTTCATTGCTGGAGGGGTTGCCCCCCCCCCCCGACCTGAAAATCCCACACGCTCACATACTTTCACACACACTTTGACAAACCCTCACTCCCAGCGCCAGGTCGGCTCACTACATCTCACGGAGGAAAGCTCATCTGAACAAAACAGTTCGCTTGGTTCAGTTTGCAAATGCGAGTTCGGGTTTTAAGTCAATATTATTTTATATTATATGGAAGCTGGTTCATAAGTCTGGGCCATTGGCAGGTCGAGGTCTGCGTGTGTTGTTTTCCCAAACTCTTCGTGCCACCATGCTTTGTTTTCAGTTTGGTCCTTTGTACTCCTCACATCTACAACTGGACTGTGCAGTTCACCTTTTACAACATTTGGTAAAAGTCCCCAGTCCCCTCCACCATCCTAGCAACACACTCCCTCCTGCTCACAACCGCGGTGTCACCTTAAAACTCCTCCCTCTCCAACCAAATCTTGCCACGACTGGCACTCTCTGTCTTCACATTCCGTAAAATCTGTCCCACCTCACTCTCCGCCGCTAAACTCTTGATTCACTCCCTCGTTTTCACTCGCCTTGATGACTGCAACTGTCTTCTTCTCACCCTTCTTGCTTACACCTTTGTGCCTCCAACACGTATGTAGTGACATAGCGACGTTGTACAGCAGCTGCAACTGGGCACTTAGCACACACGTCGCTGAGCGTATACGCGGGTGTGCTGGCAGGGCGGAGTAACTGGGGCAAGGGTCACGGTAGACCTCGTGGGGAAGCCCCCCGAAACCCTCTGGTTCCAGAAGGGAGGCGTGGCTAGGGCGGACCCGCGCCAAAGGGAATAAAAGCAGCAGAAAGCGAGAGCTCCGGGCTGCCGGTTCTGGGAGTGGACTCGTCTCGTCGTCGTCGCCGCCCTCGCCCAGTCATTGCGCGGCCGGACAGTAGTTGGCTGTCCCGGACGACGCCGTCGGTGCAACATGGACAGGGTCGTGTCTGGGACGGTCGTGCAGCAGCGTGGTCGTGAGAGAGGGGGTCCCGAGTGGTGGCATGAAACAATAAAAGGGGACGGTGCCTCCTGCAACTACCTCGTCTTCGACTGCGTGCGCGATGCACACCACCCGCACACACACAGACGACACTACACATACAATTCCTAATCCCCGATTATATTTAGCCTCCCCACAATAACTCTCCTTTCCCAACTACACTGGCTCCCCATCTATCGCTGTCAGTTTACATTTCTGACAGGGGAGTTCAAATACCTCCATGGTATTTCCCCACCCTATGGTCTTGCCCCACCCCTTGATTGCTCATCTTACCGTGTCCCAGCCCCGTCGTCTGCGCTCCCAATCGACTGTCCCCTTGTGTACCCCCCACCCCACTTCACCCTGCGCCCAAACAACCATGCTTTCGTTCCTTTTCCCTTCTTGCCTCTGCTTCGCTGGAACAAACTACCTCTGCACATAAAAAACAGTCTTCACCATCCAGCTGGAAAGATGCCACTGTGCAAGCGATATCAGAAATGCAAATGGACTACAAAGCAATAACCAGTACCTTGAATTATTGTATGACACTTTAATATAAAAGTACCACTTTTCCATTCAATGGGCTTAAACAATGGTTTGTTGTGTCGTCTTTTGTTAAGTTATGGGGCGGATTTTTGTTATTTTTTATCTGTAGGAATGCACCTTCAGTTATACAATGGAAGTCGTGGGAAAATATGGTTCCAATTGACGGAAATTCGCTTCGTGGACTTTTCACAAACATCCATTCCTACCTGTATGCAGACTTCAAAAAAGGTATGCAAGAGAGTCATTTTATCTTGCCAGGTGAGAATCCATTTGTATGTCATGTTGGAAACATTAATTGTCCTAAATACAGTTCTCCCAAATTTATTTTGCCAACCTACATTTAATGAAATTGTTTAAATAAAACACTTTAGAACTGAACTTAGTTGCCTACCACATAAGACTTTAAAAAACATTCCACTTAGCTGTAAGTCAAAATCTAGTTTAGTGGTAATGGTGTGTCAAAGATCAAGAAGTGGTAGAGACCCTTACACCCATTTGTGAATGCAAATATAGGTCTTCAATTATTCTCACAAACGAATGCATTCGAATGTCAAATTATCGGTAAAAGTTCAATAGTTACCATACAGAAAACCCTCCACAGCTTGGTATAAAGACGTTTATTAAAATGGCATCCATTCTCTAAATCTCAAGTTGAATAAACTACGTTATGGTATAAAATAGTATAAAAAATAAAAATAACCTAGACATCAAGAAAAAAACAAAACGAGAGAAAAAACACAATTTCAAGTTTTACAAATGGAAATCCAGCATTAATATTTACAGATTATTTAAAGAAACATTGGAAAAACCATGAATGGGAGAACATTTTTCCTTTCGGTTACAATTCAGAAATGTTCCACAAAAAAAAACAGTCGCATCACTCCGCATTGAGGCTGCCCAATGATTATTTTTTGCCAGTGCGTTTTATTGAAGTAGCTACTGCTGATTACAGTCACATTGTGCCAATGGTAGAGATCACACTCAACTCGCTGCCTTTGCCCATCCAAGATGTCGTAGAGCAGTTTATATACACCAGAAGCAACATTTCAAATATTACTTTGGTTTAACACGTAAGCTTTCGCGACCAATATCATCCATAAGAAGATTTTTGGTTAGATCGCGTAAACAAATGTGTCGTTAAAACCCGCCACCACCCGGCAAAGCCAACAAGGGTTGTCACGCAAACAGAACGTGACAAATTTGTCACAAATCTGGCTGTCGCCTGATGAAGCTAGTTGTAATTACTGGCGAAACATCGCACTCAGATTGTAAATGTTGTGGCTTGGCTCTCTAACACATCGGTGTGCTGTACTAGTAACCAATTGGCCACGTTCTGTTTACATGACAACCCTTACTAGTTGGCTGTCGGGTGGTGGCAGGTTTTAACGACATATTTATATATTTACGTGATCTAACCCAAAAACCTGTTATGGATAATATTACTTTGTTACAAGTTGGTCATGCTCCATTATCAAAAAAGGTCAATCTTGCCATTTCCTTTCGGCCGCACCCCTTTATTAAACTTAAAATATCTAAGGTTAACAATATCAACAATGGCCCATATTTTTGGGGGGACTGTACATCGCATATGCTGCCTGGACAAAAATACAGGTAAAAATTTACCAAAAAACCTAGACGACAAAAACCCACTAAAGTACTTTCTAAAAACTGAAAGAAATTAAATGGAATAAAACGGTTTAAAAACCCCCAGTTCTCTCGGGGGGAGGAAACGAGATAACTTTTCAGGAAGTCCTTAAATTGCCAACAGCTGTGCCTTGAGCAAATGTGCGTATGCGGCCGATGACACTCGCTAAAGTCATTAACATTTTCGTTTGCATCTCACGTCATTGTTTTTGCTCACGGCCAGTTTTTGCCACCGTCGCCAGTGGCCTGGTCCGATTTAACCTCCAAGTAGTCTACATTGCTGCACTTGTCATCGGAGTGCCCCTCCTCCTCCGAGACATTCCCCTCGCCCCAGTTGTCGCTGTTGTCCGTCACATCGGAAGCCGCATACCCATCCCCGCGCTCCCCGCGTCGAGCAGCTGCAGCATGAGCAGACAGAAAGCGGAGGTAAAAAATTAGTTACCAATGTGCATTGCCCTTTCCTAGAAAATCTGTAGGTCTCCTGCACATGCCTCGCGGTAGCAAGTGGTCAACATGAAGCCTGTAATCACTCGTAGCCCATCCCATGCGTTGGCATCCAAATCTATAGGGCAGCGATCAAAATGAAGCCATGCAGAGTCACGCAAATTTGAGCATTGTTTGTAGAGGTTTAAAATCATTAAATTAGTATTTTAAAATTCCACGTTGTTTGAGGAAATGAGCATCTCCCATGTTTGTAGGGAAAAACATCTCTGGCACTCGGTGTCCTTGCAGATTTGTATTCAACCATAGACCATATTTTCATAATTTCAGGCCTTCATTGGGTTTCACTTGTTTGAACATTAAGGAATGCCGCTCGTTGAGTTTTCATGTAGGGTTTGGGGTAGGACCCAATACTGCTTTTTTTGCAACATCAGCAGGGACAGCAGTGCTCAACAGTATTTCTTGTTCGGCATCTTTGGAGATAGTAGTCTTTATCAAACATGGCATCAACAAAACAAATAAATAATCACATGGATTACACCCGGCTAGTATTACAGTTGCTTACATCAGTTAACGAGAAGATTAAGCAAGGCTAAACACTTAAAAATGAATACATTTGTATTAGCTTTTTTGTACCAATAATCTTTTGCATAAGCACCCATTTTATTAAAGGTTCTCAAGTAGAACTACTTGTTAAAATAATAGGAAAAGTAGTGTCCTCTCTACCTTTTGCTTCCTTGAAATTAAAAAAATCTTCCTTGTAATTAAAATCTGTCGTTTTCTCGTCCTCGTCTTCCGTTTGCTGTTTTCACACAACACAAAAGCAAACACCGCCATCTACTGAAAAAACACACTTTTAGGTAGAAATTAAATGGATTTTAACAGCAGCTTGATAAATCCATACATTTATAATTTCAGAAGTTTGTTTGATAGTGATTGCATTAAACGGTTAAGTGCAATTTATAATCGTCGCCTGTTGTTCATTTGCTTTGAAAATACTTTCACGATTTAGATTTTATTGAAGTGTGAACTCTCTTGAATCGCATTGTATTTCATCGCTGTTCATAAAGGCTCACTTTTGAAATGCATTTTGCGCAAAAGTTATATTGGTTAAGCTAGGAATATTTAGTAGATATTTAGCGGCTATGTTTGGAAGTAATGGTGACTGGGCTGGTCTCCACTACTATCCAGGTCTCAAAGGCACTAATATTCTTTCCCAAACAACATGCTCTTCTAAGCAGGCCAATTTCCCACGCACTGAATCGGTAATGCTTTCGCGGAAATTCAGACCACCTAGATTTTGCCTAAATTGTCATTCAGGCTGGTTAGAATTGACTGCGAACTTGCCTGAGCAGCATGAATATTGTGGTCATCAATTGTCAGACAGACCATACCAGCCTTTGAAAGTTTGGAATGGGGACCCAACAAGCAACATCCCTCAGGGTTATAAAAATGTAAATTAATATAATTAGATTTTTACCAGGCCTTAAATGTCAAGAGAGAACCTGACAGACCAGAAGCGGACACTTGAAGGGAACATTCAGCATACGTTTAAATTTGTGTCATCAGCATAACAATTGAAGCCGAGACAGTTTGCATAAAATATGGCCAAGCGGGGTCCCGTATCTCCAAGAGTGGGCCATGGACTTAACCTTGAGGCACACCAAAGGGAACAGAACGCGTATCAGAATGCTGCCCTCCAAGGCTGACAAACTGCTTTAGATCGGAGTAAGAACATTTGATATTGTGCACTCTTATGGGTCCAGTCCATCACGAATGCGCATTGATCACAGGTTGAAGTAGGCCCTTTGAAACAACACTGTTTTGAGTCTGTTGCGGAACTGGCGCAGACTCGGGGATGAATACGCTCGTGTTCCAGGTCTTTGGGCCAAAGACCCTGAAACTGCGCTGGCCGTATCAGACGATGTTTAGCAGGTCGCCGCGAGCCGCGGATTCAAAGTTACAGATTTTCTGCGTTGGTAGTTAACTCTGTAATTGTCCCTTTTTCTGCTGTAGTAGTAGTAGAGGTTGCTGGAGAGGAAGTGAACCAGTTGCAAGGCAATTCCAGAAACCCCTATGGAGCCTTCCCATCACTCAAGCAGGATGGGATGATCGACAGTTTCAAAGGCAGCAAAGTCCAAAAGGACAACATAGTACACAGGCCTGCATCTACAGAAACCAAAAAATAATTGAAAACCTCACCAGGACTGTTTTCCATACTAAAACCAGGCTTGAAACCAGACTGAAAGGGATCTAGGTCACTGACAAGCAAGTGGTGTTGGAGCTGCATGGTGAATGGACAGTCGAGGACTTTGGAGAGATTAGGCAGATTTTTAGATGGGGCAATAATTACTGATAACATCGGGATTAAGTAGAAGGGGTAACAGTATATTCAAAGAGTGAAAGGACAGTACCACAATGGAGTAGATTAGTGATGAACACAGTAAGAGATGGAAGTTGAATGAATGAGCCAAGGAAACGGTTCCAGAGGACATTAAGTGGGCCAGGATCTAGCTGCTTATGATGCCAACCTCAGAAGGAAAATTCTGAAAAAGAGAAAATATAAATCACTGGAGTGTGAACAGTTGGCAAGGTGGTAAGGCAGAGATTGAATGGAGAAGCAGATTGTTGATTTTGTAAAAAAAAAAAACTTAAGAAACTGGTCAGCTTGTAATGTATTACGAGAAGAAAAAGGGGAAAATGGAGAAGCCAATGAACAGTTGAAAAATGTATCTTCGGGTTTTTCCAGGCATCAGAAAAAGTAGATAAAAGATAGCTAGTATGGGCAAGGTTCAGTGCTTTTTTTCAGTAAGCCAACGTTTGCTTAAAATCTTGATAATGGATGTGGTAAGACATTATTTTCTCCAGGTTCGCTTAGCCATGCTAAGTCACGTTCAGTGTACACAACTCATCTGAGTAGCAGGATAAGGGTTTCGTGGTTGAAATCCACTGTTGCTTCAAAAGGAAAGTGGATACATAACAATTGGAAGAAAACGTATGAAGAGGCTGGTGCTTTAAAATGGTAGTTGAAAGGAACCCAAATGTAAACCAACACCACTGATCTGACACACCAGGGTCAACAATGGATAAGGTTAGCTACAGATAGTCCTGGAGTGCGCAAGTCCAAAATATGATTGCAAATATTGGTCGGAGACTTAACATATTGAGTGACATTGAAGCAGTCAAAAGTAGCAAGGAAATAAATTGGGTTTATGTCGCTGTGCTGTCTCTGCCTATAGTTGTGTGCCTGGGTGTATCTAAGTGTGCGCTGCGGCGCCCTCTCTGTGTGCCTGACAACTTGTATCATGCTAATTTGTGTCCCATTGTCTCTGAGACCCAGTCCCTCCATCTCTGGCTATTTAAGGCCTCGGTACAGAGCTGCTTTACCTCTTAACTGTGCGTGTCTCCCCCCATAGGTCTCTCTACGGTATGTATTCTATCAAAATTTCACACTCAACTTACAATTTAACAATCTTTGAAATAGTGTATTCAACCAGACCATGCGTTAATTGTGTTTTAACCGACCGTCTGTGTTGCTTTACATAGTTTCCAAATTTTTCTAAACCCTGTTTGATTTAGTGTGATGCTCCGTTTCTCTGTATCCCCTGGTATATGTGTTAATTCCCTCTACTTAAGGTCTGTATATATATCTGTGGTTATGTGTTTCCTCTACCTGATGATGATTGCTTGTGTTGCAATCGAAACGTCGTATATTATGCAATTTTATTTTTTCTTATTTCTACGTGACTTTACCGAAAAAAACAAAGATTAGCTAGGAAATGCCTAGCAAAATAACATGTTAGTCAGTCTATGCAATTATTGAAATCAACCAGGAGCCGGATTCTATCGGATGCAGGCCATAACACAAATTAACTCTGGTAGATCCCCAAGGAGGTGGAGGCCCCCGGGTGGGCAGTAAAAAGGGCACAACTGTCACAGATCGGATATCCTTTAATTCTAGTACTAGATGCTCAAATGATTGAAAGGCCGACTGGTGGGGGGGCAGAAGATCAAGACTTGCCCCTAAAAAATATATCCACTGGGCAGGGGCCTGGTATTACGGCCAGCTCGGGCATGAAAACCCGGGGCTCGCGTGGGGTCCCAAAACCCTCGTCTGTCATACTACGTATTCATTATTTAAAGAGGAAAGTTCAAGACAAGTACCACGGATGGAGTGTGATGGTTAGAGACAGGGTGGGAGAGTGTGTGGAGCTAAGATAAGAATACGAGTCCTGTTTAATACGGAGCTCAGACCAAGGAATCGCCACAATCCATTGTGGCAGTGTACTGGCACAACCCATAACAACCGTCGTTTTAACCTAGTCCCAACGCGTTCATGGAGTTCCGCAATGCCTCGTGTGCTCATCCTCCACCCGATGTCCGAGCCGCTACCATTCCTGTGCTCGCAACAAACCGCTACACACACAATCACCTCGTGTGCCCACAGCTCTGCCAATCGCACACACGGCTGGTTAGGCCTCCTCTTAGCCTACTAAGAGGAGGTATTACGGCATGCAAAGGTGGGCACTTGGGGCTCCTTGACCAAGCCCTACCTCTTCTGCTCTCTCGCCTAGGCCTTGTCCACCACTCTGTTGCTGCAAGAGCCACCACGAGGCCTCAGTCCTCCGCATTGGATATTGCCCTAACAAGAGCACCACCGCTGGTTGGTACATCTCCTGGCCACCCGTTGGCTTCTTCTCCGACTAATCTCCGGCTGTAACCTCTCTCGTCCATGACACACCTCTGCTCTCTAGCCTGCACAACCACCAGGCCCCAGGCTCAAAGGCTGGTTTCTTGTCAAAGCGACAGTTGTCCTTGGGTGCTGCTGGTTTGATGCTGCACTCCTCTGCCTTTGAACCCCTCCATGGTCCATGATCATTCAGGTCTGGCTCAACCCTTTATAGATGTGGTCAACTACTCCCTGCTGCCTTGCCATTGACGCATTAGCCTCATTTTGGGGGTGGGTCACCTGTTCCTACTTGGGGCTTAAATTACCCCTACTTGACTTAATCAGCCCTCATGACACCTCTGACAATTGGTGGCTGCCGATTATATCAGTGGAAGGCCTGCTCGGACCAATGCTACCACACTTGGTCAAACATGCAGATACAGTTCAGGCCTGCACTGACGGAGTGTTCATTGACCACTGCGTGACGCCTGGTTGCACAGATGATCAGCTGGCTGGTATCATGTATCTGCGAGGCATAATTATTGTCGTTGATGAACTCATCAACAATGTGTTTGTTATTAAGAAAACGTACATTAAGAAGGAAACTGGTGAGGCCGTCAGGCTCACTTATTGATGCGGTTTGAGTAGGAAAGGGCCGTAGGAGAAAATGATCGACTCCCAAATATTTGGGCTCCGGCTTCTGACAGTGACCACACAACACGGAGATTGCATGAGGCCACCAAGGTGGTGGTAGTCGTAGGTCTTTTGCCATGACCTTTTCCCCCGATGAATGTAGGGAAGGTAACAAAAAATCTTCATTTGACGACATTTGGCCTCCAGATCAGGGATGATATGCAAGGATGTAGGCCGGAGACTCAGGAGGATTGCACGGGTGAACATCATCACTACACACCATAAATCCACAATGGTCTAGTTGTGAACAGAGATGAGTACCTGTGCTGATGATTTAACCTCACCACACTTACAAGCTAGGCTCCTGCCAAGGAGAGTTGGACACATGCTGTGTGGCAAGCTGGTCGAAATACTCTTCAAGCCAGATGCAATCAACGGTGAGCTGGTCACAAACCGAGCAGGTAATGATGAGGCGGCAGTCAAGCCCACAGAAGCAGAAGAGCAGCGCCACCCAAGTGATCAAAGGTTGCCTGTCGATCGAGGCTCACCCAGCCATGCAGCGCACGCAGGCTTGCGAGTTGGGTAGGCCTCGCGGACTAAACCGGAAAACTCTTTCATCTAAGGGTCGTGGTAGAGGCAGGCAGCGGGTGTCGTACGTGGAGGCTCAGGGGAGGCAGAGCCAGGAGGCACCCAAAGGCTGGACCAAAAGGACAGGAGCAGGAAGCGGACTGGTTGGTCCGACCACGCACCTTTCTCACCAGGAATTTTAAACGGCCAGGAAGTCACTAGTAGCTGGGCAGCCCTCGTGGGTCTATACCCACAGGAGCTCCGATTAGCACGGTTGGTTATGTACGGTGCAAAAAAAAAGTTCAACATACATTCAGAGAAGGGCAGGTGTAGGAGGAAAAAAACCCAAAAGGATAACAGTTAAAAATGTAAAACACAAAATAAGAAAAATAAAACCCAGAGAAAATTTAAATACAGCTTTTAAAACTGTAACATCTTTACATTAAAAGTTACTGTTAAAACAAATAAATACAAAGTAAGATTAAATAAGCTTTAATAAAAATAAGAAACAAACGGTAAAATTACTTAAAATTGTTTAACTGCAAAGCACAGAAAGGCATAAAGAAAAAGGGCAGTATGCCCACCAGGATGCTCTCCCGTATGTCCAATTAACGTGACATACTTATTAGGTGACGCGTTATGTCCATGTTCAGGGGAGAAAAACTATTTGGGGCATTCCAGTGTGAACATGTTATAACCAACATCATGGGACCTCCTTTTCCAGCACCAAAATATGAGAATAGGTTTTCCCTTTTTTTCTGGCAACAAAACAGGTGTTACGATATTCTTGGTTGTTTCGGTAAAGTCACATAGAAGGGAAATAATAAAATAATAAAACATCATAAAATTATCACGTTTCGGCCACAACACAAGCAGCCTTCCTCAGGTGAAGAACAGAGCTGTCGGAAAGACAACGTCCTAATAAACACTGCTATTTTGATGTTAAAACACCAAACTGAAATCTTTTACAAGGAATCATGTCTGCATTAACCACAATAATTGTGGTCAGAATGCATTACTCTGAAAGTGCTTGTCTTTGTGCTGTACGCCTTTTGGCGTCCTCTAGTCGAACACCGTTTTTGAGACTAGGCTCAAAAGAAAGTTGCCTCTGGTGTGGACCAATCAGTTTCAAAGACAATGCATATATTCAGTTTTTTGTTTGCATTCTGACCACAAGTATTGTGGTTAATGCAGACATGATTCCGTGTAAAAGGTTCCAGTTTGGTGTTTTAACATCGGAACACCTGTTTTGTTGCCAGAAAAAAGGGGAAAAACCTATTCTCATGTTATAACCTATACAAGTGTTGGACTATTGCAAAACCAGCTCTCCTGCCTGGGTAGCCGCAAGGATTTTCTGCAGGAGAAAGTCCAAGTTGGGAGTCTGTTGTACCCCCACACTAGAGCCCCAGTTCAACACTGGTTGCAAATGCAAATAATTTGCACATCTAAAGCCAAGTTGCCTACCTATTCATTGGACCTTTCAAAAGAAAATAACATTTAAACATGGCACATTATATATATCTACCTACTCTGATCATTGCAACTTCTTACCTGATCTTTTTCATCGTTTTCTTCATCCACAATCATTTTCTCATCAAGATTCGACTTTGATGAAGACGAGGTTGTTTCCAATGGGTCACTGTGGGATTTATTTACCCTGAAGTGATGAAAAAAAACCACCATATGAGCTCCCACGTTTTGTGTCAATCAGAACCTTTTTTAAGTGCCCAGGTTCATAAAAAGGATTAGACAATGTAAATTTTACCCAAATCTGAATGAGGTGCAAGGTGCTTAATATTTTTGAACCAATTCAAGTTACTCTTCTAAACACCAAACATACGTTTGCTGTGGTTACTATATACACATAGGATGGGAAAAACAAGAATGGTACTTACTCCTCGGACGAAGTAGATCTTTTGCTTAAGCCGTTGTCATTTTTCATAGTATCAAAGTCACGCATCCAGCGTAGATGGTTGTGCTTGAACCCGTAGCGCATATCCCCAAACCAACCAACAATGACAGTTCGCGACAGCTTTGTCATCTCCACCATTTGCGTGTATTCTTCGTTCGTGGGCCATTGCGTTCGCACAAATACAGACTTGAGAATGTTAAGTTGGCTTTTCGTTTTCTTTGTACTGAGCGGAGGAGACAACGTTTTGGATTTTTTAGCATGCCCTGGACTGTCATTCGTTTTCTTGGATTCTGTGTCCTTTTTTGTGGTTATAGTAATTTTACCATTTGCAGAGGAAGATTTATTGCGTTTCTCACTTCTTCGCTTGGCCTTTAATTTCCTTTTGAAAAACAACACAATCTCTTGTTGCCTCAAGTTAGTTACTTCCACAAGGCGCTTAACTTCTTCTTTGCTGGGTTTAGGGTCCAGAGAGAAGCTGGCTGAAAGGACTTCCAACTGATACTTCGTCTTAAAGCGTCGCTGCCCTTGCGTGGTATCCGCTGTTCTTGCTTCGAGGTTACCCAACATCGGTGCCTGATTCAACTGACCCTGTGGAAGTTTGACAGTTTTAAGCGACATCGTGCTGCCATCTTCACTGTCTTCTTGGTCGTACCCATCATTGTCATCGCCGCAGTCCTCTTCCAAGTCATCGCTCGAGTTGTCGTTCTCAAGAACAACCTCGATGCTGCCTTTGTCGGGTTCCAATGGTCCGCTTGGATTGAGTTTTTCCATACTTGAATTGTGGGGAACATTTTCAGTCCTCTCCACTTTCAAGTGGCGAGATTCGGCAAGCTCCGCGACGGCAACGTTATCCTTTGGGATCCCGCGCTGCTGCCGCTGATCATTGAACCAGGCCTCGATCTCACGACGAGTCAACTTCGTCTCTGTGTGCAGTCGTTCCAACTCGTCCTCCAAGAGCCACGGCCATTGCTCAAAGCTGGAGTCCAGCACCGCCAACTGCACCTCCGTCTTTTCCTAAAGCGCAATTTTTAACATTGCTTCATTTTACTGACAAATGCCCCAATTCCGCTGCTTTTGTGGTTCAAATGTTTATATATGTCCCTTATTTGTATTAGCCCATGGTTTTTTTTATTTGACAATCTTTCAACGGACCAAAATATGCTGTCACAATAACCGAAAGGAAAAAGTAACATCATATGAAAAACTTGATTTGGAGCTTTCGTGACTGCAGGAATTACTCTTTGGTTATTTTGGTAAAGTCACGGAGAAAGAGAAAATAATAAATTAAATATTAGCATACGACGCTTCGATTGCAAGACAAGCAATCATCAGGTATATAAAAACTAGTAAACTTAGAAATATAATGAAATACAACACAGAGTCGGCTAACATAACAGTCAATACGCTACCTGGTTGATTATGTTATTCCAAAGAAAGCTAAATTTTAGAGAGAGACAAAACACAGACACGGAGAGAGAAACACACAGGCACACAGAGAAACAACCCATCTGTGTCGAGGCCTTAAATAGAGAGAGGGGGGCAGAGAGAGAGAGGGGGGGTAGATGATGATTGCTTGTGTTGCAATCGAAACGTCGTATGCTATTATTTAATTTATTATCTTCTCTTTCTACGTGACTTTACCGAAAGAACCGCAGTCACGAAAGCTCCAAATCAAGTTTGAACCACCTCTACGTGGAGGTCTTAAGCTTGTTTTCTGTGTCTCTGTGTTGTCTCTCTCTCTGCTTGTGTATCTGTCTTTGTGTCTCCGTGTCTGTGTCGTCTCTCAAATTTCACACTTAACTTCTAATTTAGCAATCTTTGGAAGGACGTAATCAACCAGGCTATGCCTTGTGTGTTGACCGACTCTGTGTTGCATTGCATTTCCAAATTTTACTAAGTTTGTTTGATTTAGTGTTTTCTCTCTCTCCGTCTCCCCTCGTGTTGCTCTTATTTCCTGCAGTCACGAAAGCTCGAAATCTCTCATTGACATGGTAATTTCTCTACCCCCCCTCTCTCTCTATATAAGGCCTCGACAGAGGCGTTGTTTCTGTGTGCCTATGTGTGTGTCTCTCTCTTTCTGCTTATGTGTCTATGTGTCTCCGTGTCTGTGTTTTGTCTCGCTCTCAAGTTTAGCAATCTTTGGAATAACGTAATCAACCAGATAGGGTGTTGACTGTTATGTTAGCCGACTCTGTGTTGTATTGCATTATATTTCTAAGTTTACTAGTTTTTTTCCCATTTATACCTGATGATTGCTTGTGTTGCAATCGAAACGTCGTATGCTATTATTTAATTTATTATTTTCTCTTTCTCCGTGACTTTACCGAAAGAACCAAAGAGTAACATCATATGCATAGAAGCTATCATCCTGTGCCTCGTTTCTACACACCGAAAGCTTTGCTGGCACCGACCGAAACCACAGGGGCTGGGTCAGAAAGCCTGCATCCCACAACAGCCTGGTCATGTCTCAACTGATCCCCATGAAATTCCAGGACCTCAGCCACTGGTTTCATTCTTAAGCTACGCTACACATTTAAGTCCTTTTATTTCCTGTAATTATGACTGCTGCAAATGTTATCTTTGGGATCGGAATCTTAATTTACAATATAACAAATCTGTTGAGCTACAAAGATAATGTTTTGCAGATGTCCAGTCGGGGTGGGTGAGCATACTACATCAATTCAAATACAAGAAAGGTTAAATATATTGAACTTATCCAAAATGGAAGGATAATTTGTATCACTTCTCGATGCCCATCCCCCTGGCCAAGCAGAGTCGTAGGGTCTGGAGGAATCAAGACGGGTGGGGGATGAGGCCAAGAAGCCTCATGGCTCACAAGAGCATGAAGACCGAGGCCAAGGGTGTGGTTACTGTTCTGGGTTATTGGACTGGCATGAGATTTGGTTCTAGGGTGGTAATGGAAATGAGGCACTAGTCTCCTCCCATGATTCTCAAATGCAAAGGCACAAGTGACTGGCACCGGGAAATGTTACCCGGCCATACTGGCAACATGAACCCTACCAGTTTACAATCGGTGGATTGCAACTATGACAGTACAGCCTACAAAAAAGCTGCACCGCACTCAACTTTTGATTATCCGTGCTCATGGGTAGGAGGCAAAATCCGGATTAATAAATAACGTGAATGTTCATATGCAAATTAGGTTAACATGTAAGTATTGTTTACCTACCTAGAATGGGAGTAATGTGTGGTATATTTTTTACTGTATCTTAAAGCAAATAGTTTACTTGGCAATTTCATTTGCAGTCCCGTGGGCACCAGACGCTTGACGAGAAGAGCATTAACCGAAACAGGACATGTAAAAGGCGTGAATAATGGTTACGCATCTCCGATTAGCACGGTTGACTATGAACGGTATGAAAAAGTTTAACATGCATATATAGGCAACCCAAGTAATCGGTTCACGGATAATCGAGAGTTGACTGTACATAAAAAAACCCAAAGGGAAGATTTTGAAAAAGATGTCACCTTGAATTTAGGTGGAGTGAAATCAGGAAACATGTTTATGTAGTAGTTTCGCAGGTATGTAGATGCCGTTCTCACATTTTCAGATCTGCTGTGTGTTTGGTCACCATCCCTCAAAACCTGAGGCAAGGCCGCTTCCTTGGCAGTTTTATTTTCCGATTGCTCCAACTTAATATCAGCAATGTTCACCGGAAGATCCACTGCAACACACACACACACGCACGTATATTAGAGAAACCTTAGTTTCCTCTGATAGTGGATTAATAAAATACTTAATTGATTGCAAATGAGGTGTAAAGCTTTACTCGAACACGTAAAAGCACTTCAATAACATGGAACGCTAGGTCTATATTACACAGCAATACTAATGTTTTCCGCAACCTGAGTAAAAATCGCGAGGCAAGAATGGCTTTTAGTATGAACAAATTACATCCCTTTCACATGAGAAATATGCCAAATAATGAGTTACAACTGATCCAATGTGAAAATAGAACTTACAAATACAAGCCTTAAAACACCTCCATGTACTACTAAAACATGTCTAAACATGAAACAAATCAAAGGCTGAGAAATATACATTGAATATGGAGAATTGCACCACAAACGTCAGTTACAATTCACTGATGTATTAACAATGGAAAGAACAGTCCAATAAGATACAAGCTAAATATAATTACGTAAAAAAATAACTCTGGATTACTACAAAAAGATGTTACAATTATTTAAAAAGTCAAGAATCTGAATTTTATTTGGCAAGCCACTAAGGCAACCCCTTTTATCCTCAACCCCACAATCACCATTCCCAATATGCCATTAATACTAATCGTTCTATGTGCATCCCCGTTTGTGCGACAAGGTGAGCTTTGACGTTACCTGAGTTCTGAGAGTCTGTTCGCTGATGCTGGAACCATTTAATCACCTGCGAAGGGGTCAGGTTCGTCTTCTTGGCGAGTTCTTGGCAATCCTGCTTGCTGGGATACTCATTTTTCATAAAGAATTCTCGAAGAAGTGTTAACTGCTCGTGTGTTTTCCGTTTGGATTTTTTGCCATTGGTGACACTTTGGGGCAGGTTCTCTTCTGCTTTGCGCTTCTTGTTCACAGTTAAAGTATCGATCACGGGCTGTGGAGTTGGGACCACAACGGTGGTTTTTGTTTGGCTCGAACTCGATAGTTTATCTTCTGTCGCTGGCCTATTGTCATCACCGGTTTCTCTGCCATTTGGCGTGGATGAATTTTCAGAGGCGAAACCGGAGTCGCTCTGCACTCTTCCCGTGGTGCGCAAACAGTTTGTGACGAAGCTCTTTCTCTTTATCCTTTCCACCTCCTCGGGTGTCCAACTGATCCCATTGAGGAGACGCTGCGCCATAAACCACATGGCCACCTCCAACTCGGTGTGACCCGTTACGACCGCCAAATAGCAGATCTCGGTCCTCAGCGGGTAAGGGAACTTCCTTAGCGAATTAATAAGGTAAGGGTTTAGATCCATGGCAGGGTTGTAGGATGGAATACTGTTTGAAGGTATGGAGATGGTCAGTGCGCACTCATCACTCAAAGAGCTGGTTTTGTCCAAATCCTCATCCACACTGGACGTGGTGTGAACGTCTAAAAAATTATCCGAGATCTTTTTCAAGGGTTCTTTTCCCCCATTCAGTGTCGGGTTGGCTTTTGACGATTGTGGTGGAGGATATCCTTGATACTTTTGTTTTATGTTGAAGAGAGGTTCTACATCAGGCCGTTTTGGAGCAATTTTCTTATAAGTGGTAATTTTCAGCTCATTCTGAATGGGGATTGTGTTTGCTCCTATAGTGGTTCTCAAAGGTTCAACATTCATGTTATTCTGAGCAATAATTTTGCTACTCAGTACATGAGCGTTGAGTAGCACTGCGTGATTCACTACATTGGCGGGAGATGTAGGTGTTGCCATATTCATCAGTCTAGTGTTTGGTGTAGATGTGTCATTCACCGCTTTAATGTTAGGGGTAGATATTTTGTTATCCACCAAATGAGCTCTATGTGCTGATGATCTATTTGTCACCTCCAGTGCGTTTGACGCACGCGGAACATCAGAAGCTTTCCGAGGTTCATTTTTGCCAACTTGTTTACCTCGATGGTTCTCAACTTCATCATCGCTGGAATTGCCACTTATCATCCCACCGTCGAGCGGCAAAAATTGCGCACTTGTTTCTTTGTTCTGTGCCAGTACATTGACCGCAACACACTTGGCAGAAGAGTTTTCCCCCTTCTTGCACACTTCTGCTGCCGTCATCTGCTTTGGCACCTCAGGTTCCTTGATGCAGGCAATGCAAAACATTATAAAAGTAAATAATTTGAAAAATGCTCATGTATAGATCTACACAGTGGTCAGTGACCAAGCTGCTTCCATGCATACCTTGTATAAAATGTATCCAATCGTACTTTGTACACTTTCCTCTTGCCGAGAAGGCATTTGTTGCTATTTTGTTGCAAACTTAATTTGCTGCATCCTTGAAATCAAGAGCAGCGAATGGGTCTTAAGATGCCGTTTTGGTTAGAATTGAATACTACACACACGCCTGTTTAATTCGTATTATTTAGAGTGCATTTGTGCACAGCCAAGCAGCATCTTCATTATTTGCAGAATGCAGCGTTGTTCTCAGGCCGCCGCTAAGGCTTGGTTAACCTATATACGTGACTTTACTGAAAGACCCAAAGAATACTGATGAGAGTAGTCCCACTAAAAATGATTCACAGAGCCCTGGCAAGCCAATGAAAAATGAAGGCCCACTCCATGCACTGTCGGCCATGGGGCTCTGATGGACCACATTGGTCAGCGAGTCAGATATCACTGGTTAACCATGGCCGGAGATCGAACTTAGGTCACCGTTTTGAGAGTTTGAGAGTGCAGTGTGCCAACCATTGCATCATCGCTTCCTCCGACTGCGACTACATACCGAGTAAAAACGTAAATTGAAATTGGCTATTGGAGGTCACTGTTCTATACATTTCCGTCTCGTAACAATTTCCATGCTACATTTGTCACAAGATTTTCTTCCCCACAAATACCAACTTAAACATAGCATTAACGCAAGAACTCTTGGAAAATAAAGTCAAAAGTAAAATGTTACTACAACTTTGAGGTTTCCGCTTTATATTTTACTCGTTTAATGGAAGAAAATTTACATTTTAAGAATTTCTTAAAAGTATAATACAGGAAAACCTGGCCAAACACGGTTTTATCATATGCGTTTTTCGATGGCACCCGGGTTTCCTAAGAGAGGTCTGTTTTCCGAAACACAGGGGTGGACGTTTCGGCTTTGCGCGTGTTTTACGCTGCTTAAGATTCTTATCTCCACGTGTGCGGTGTGTCTGTACACTCCTGCTCATGCTACGTGACATGGTTGTATTATACAATATTGTATATATCTTGTCACCATCTTCCCTCGCGCACATACACATGCATGCGGTCTCATTTTTTTCTTCTGGCGCCAAAGTGTAAGTTGAATGGTGGTGATTGTAGTCATAAAAAAAGCAGAGAAAGTGCACTTTTTGCACCAGTTATCTTGTGAGCTGGGCTTTTGCAAGAGGTGAGAGTGCTGCATCCATTATAGGGTACCAATGGGGTGAATGAATCGACTTTGATAGAACAATTAAAATAATCGGAGAACTAGACGACAACCCCATGAGAACATCACCTTCACCGTAAGTAAAAAAAATCAGAAGTTTTCCTCTTACGTGGAATGGAAGACAAGTGTGTGCAGCAGCTGCATGTGTTAAAGTAGGTCTTACCTTTTCTGTCCGGACGCGAGTGGGATGGGAGGCGGCATTGTGCTCCATAAAGCTTTCGTAGCTTGGCGTGCGAAACTTGCATTGGCGGCACACGTAGATCGGATTGGGCACCGCAGTGGGATGCGCTCTCTTTAAATGATCCGTAAAGGCTGGCAGGCCTTGCGCTCGGAAGGAGCAGTGCTTGCACACATAAGTTATCCGAACATCGTTTTGCACCAATGGATCTTCTTTAATGTTCTTTGCAAGCTCCCAGTCTGCATTCTTTCTATCTCTAGACCTTGCCTCTGGAGACTTAAATGTTGCTCCGGTAATTTCGACATCATCCACATCCGTGTCATCAATAAGAATCACTGAATGCGGTGACTTCCTTCGACTTCCCATCTATGATTGAAGGACAATTAAAAACACACATGACAGGAAAAAAACTGTGCATAAAAATATTATTCTAAATTTTAAAGCAACATGTTAATCCAAAGCTGTATACAGTTATTTTTAAAAATATATACACACATGAGCTTTAACGACCAATATTATTATTCATAATAGTTTTATTTAGATTGCTGGTGTTTTAATTCGTTACATTATAATAAAGAATGAGTTGATGACGTGCAAATGGTACAAGTTGGTTAGTCGTTATAAATTTAGCAGTTCAACAGAGCCGAAAGCTATGGAGTGGTGCCCGAAATGTAATTATAAATGATTTAATCAACCATATTATATAACACAACTAAATTCCTCACGAGCCAACTCCTGCCATTATTAAATTACATTACGTGCATAACTGTGCCAATGATGACACGGCATCTACTTAAGGACCCGGATCAGGCAGCACTTTCACCTGAGATCTGAGCTCTGTTAACAACCTGATGATGCTGGATGTAATCTCCAGTGAAACAATTGTACTCGTGTAAATGTTGCGAGGTTACGCCTCAAATACACCATCATGCTGAACGTCAATAAATTTGGCACATTTGATCGTGACACTTATGAATTCGTTGTCGGATGGAGGATCGTTTACACACATTTTTACATGACCAAACCCAAAATATACCAATTATGAATCGTATTTCTTTTAATGTTACGAAGTGCAATTGTGCAAAAACAAAACATCTCTGAAAAAAATATAATACATAAAACATTTTAAATACACGGAATTTAGTTTACATATTTTTCGCCAATACATTACAAAATGCTGAAATTACTGCATAATGCAAGCACTTAAAATTGACAAATGACTGCAATGGTTGGAAACGTAAAATCTCAAAGTATCATCTTCAATCATGGACCGGATGAAAGGACCCCATGGATATAAGTTTATATTTGAGATTGTAACCCAAAGAAAGTCATGGACGGACCTGAGATTTTACGAAACAAAAAAGATCATTTATTATGGTATAGTTGCGACATCCCAATGCCCACTGACGAGAACCAAACCCTGGAAGCAAAGCAGTACCGCTCATTTCTGGTGCAGTGCTGGAATGGATGGCAACAGGGCAGTCACGGGGAGAGGTTCTAACGTACCAATGTACGATGAAAACTGATTCTGCCATTACGTGAATTAGATCTTGAAGTTTTGTCGTGGTAATTTCACTAAAAAATAATAAAATACCCCCACAAATGGCATAGGTCACTTTCAATCCACTGGTGAATAAAGGTATCGCCACGACATCCCATGTGATCCTTTGGTGCCACATCCCATGTGGCTTCAAGGATGAGCTGATCTCTGCAGTGGTGTTTGTACTCTAGGGCAGTGGTTCTAAAACAGGGGTACACAGAACCCTGGGGGTATTTCAAGTGAATTATAAATGTGAAATTATATCATGAGTCATTGGTGAATAATCATGCATGAATCTGGCAATATAAAATAAATACGATAACATTTAAATACATATGGTAATCTAGAACGATATAATATAGCTTTTTTTAAAACTCATTGGACCCAAACAGTGGTTTTAAAGAGTAACCAGCGGCGAGCGTAAAATAAATTTTGTCATGTATGCAGAGCATCCGTTGCATTTTTGTATTCACGTGTAGTTTCTAGCTACTTAGGATGCCTCCGAAAAAGGACAACTGGTTAAAATATTTCTGTTCATTCTTCATACCGTTATTTCTCAGAACCATGTTGGGACAGGCAAGGGAGTACTCGGTTGAAACAAAATTAAAAAAGGGGTAGTCACCAAAGGCTAAGAACCACTGCTCTAGGGCTTGTTCCCCCGTTTTCCTGTCACTTTACCCAGCAGCTATTATACCTTCATGGAGGCGTGTACTACTGAAGCCCATTTACTTTCCTGAATAATACACATCTCTTCAATTCGCATTTGCTCATCCACATTTTACTCTGATGGAAAAAAAAGAATAGGCTTCACCCTTTTCATCAAGAACACGTGTTAAGATTTTCTAACACCAAATAAACACCTCTTACAAGTCTTGCATTAACTACACACAGGCATGCCTTTGCTGAACGAGCATTCTTTATCAAAATTTGTGTTATAACGAGCAATTTGAATTGAGCCCGATTTGCTCGCAAAACGAGCAAATGTTCACTTAACGAGCGGAGACCGATGGATCAAATGCGTCCCGTGGTGGCACGTGGCGCACCACGGCCCACAATTGTTTGTTTACGAGGTTTCCTCTGCTGAGTGCACGCGTGTTTGGTCGTGAGGGAAAGGAGCCTCGTGGTAGCAGTGTAATGGGTGGGTATGGAGAGCGGCAGCGTAGAAGTTCGCGCGCAGCGCCACATACCCGGTGACCCAAGTTAAATTCCGGCTCACGGCCAACACCAGCGACGATTATCTGAACCGGTCCCGAGCCTCCGCTAGGTCGACTCAGCTTGCTGCAGTGCATAAACATCACCACTAGGGATACAATGGTGGATGGGCGTGGTGCTGGCTATCCACCCCTTGTGTGCCGAACTGGCCTTTGTAGGTGCTCGCCAACAGCAATTGCCCCAAGTCTGTTTAGGCCATGAGGGTTCTTGTACTGTGGTTCTACATGTGTGGTAGCTATTGCATCTTATGTTTTATGATTTAAAAAAAAATTCTCATGTAATGAAAAGATGGATTCTGGCTTAGCAATCATTGGAAGGATTTGATAAACCATTTCGGGTCTTAATTGATTGTTTACGCTTACGGTGGATTTCAGACCGCATCCATTATTTTTGTCTCCCCCCTCCTCTTTTCCGAACATAGATGACTCGTCCATCTGAATAACTGCCAAATCGCTCTCCATGGTGATAACGTTAAAAAAGCCACTTTTTTTCAAATTCTTGCTGTGGTTTTCACACCTGATGATGATTGCTTGTGTTGCAGTCGAAACGTCGTGAGAATTTTACGTGACTTTACCGAAAGAACCAAGAATATAAATCCCTGCAGTCACGAAAGCTTTAAATCAAAATGTAATGAAAAGTTGTTCAAGAGAAGAACATTTTGGGGCTGAAACGTAGCTCAGAAATTTTTGCTGAACGTATCTTGCTCGTTAAGCGAGACATGCCCGTACTGACAAAAAAATGGGTCCCATCGATGATACTCTTTTTATCTGTAATTCTAAGCACGCACCTTCTCCATGTTTCCCTGCACACTTGAGCTCATCACATTTTCTTTTGTCTGTCCACGTTTCTGATCCTTGTCATGACTGGTAACATCCATAGGTTTAAAAAGGTATTTTAGACACATTGTTATTTGCCATTATGAAATACCCCCGCACGAGTCTTTTTCACCATTTTGATCACAGTGTGCCTTCAAAGATTGAAAACCTGAAGGCGCGCACCTAGGAAGTCACACCGAGGTACAGGCAGACTTCGCCTAGCGTTCAAGATGCGGTTCCTGGAGACGCGAGCGCTAATCGAATCAGCGCAAAAAGGAGTCACACCATTGTATGGGGATGCGTTCCCCACAAGCATTATTCCTTTCATACGTGTAATACATGAACACTTCATTTGGGGTATCGGTAATAGCACTAATAATAGTTAGAAAATATTTCACAAATTAAAATATTAATTTATTAAAACGTCAGTAAGTATTATGTACTGTATTCACGAGTGCATTCTAGTGTACTCCTACAAGGTACCGGTGGGAGACGAGGATGGCGAGACTGCTGCGCTGCTAATCCGGGGCATTCTCAGATACAGCTCCAGGACCTCAGTGATCTAAGCGATGTCCTCAGCCTAAATTTGTGGCTAAGTTTCTTTTAGGTGGAGCCTGAGACTCTATCCTAGTCTTGCGAGTTCTCATCTGGCTAAACAAATACTGTACTGTAACAAAATATTTTTAAATGTAACCATGACTATGAATCATGGGGGGGTGGCGTCTGGTTGGCTCGAGAGTTTGTCGCTCTCATTGGCTGAGCAAATGAAGGGACGGGTAAGTTTCCTCGGCTAGCACTCCGTGTTCTCATTCATAACCGCTCTTTATATATTTAAAACTTTCTTAATTTTTGGGGGAAAATGTTCAAGGACATAGAGCACTATAACAAATCAGGATTCTACCGAGTCGCGCTAAACGAGGTCTGCCTGTACACTCAGATGTGACATCCAGCAGTATTCTAATTTCAAAATTTCTTCCCCCGCCCAAACCCTATTTTATTTTTCAGAAGAAAAGATAAAATGGCACTGCTCCAGTAAGTAGGGCCAGAGTACAAAAAAAACACGGAGACCCTACCAGGAAACGAGTCACGTATGCCCCAAAAGTACTTAGTACAAAACCCAGTTATCTACGCGTCCCAACCATCTCACAAATATGGATGCATATCAGTGGTTGCTAGGGATTACGTCATCACTCCCATTACACCAGCCAATCAGCTACCAGAAAAACAATCCTGATGCAACACAGCTTCCGTTATTGCATCATTTCCCTGTGCAACATGGTCAGTCATATCAACGTCTTGACTGAGGGCAAGTTTTGATTGAAAGCTTTCGTGACTGCAGGGATTCATATTCTTGGTTCTTTCGGTAAAGTCACGTAGAAGGGAAACAATAAAATAAAAACATAAAATAAAATTCTCACGACGTTTCGACTGCAACACAAGCAATCATCATCAGGTATTGCAGTCGAAACGTCGTGAGAATTGCTATATATTTTTATTATTTTATTGTTTCCCTTCTACGTGACTTTACCGAAAGAACCAAGAATATGAGGGCAAGTTGTACGTTGTTTTAAAAAGTAATGTGATTGTGTACATTTATTTGTACGAGTGGATGAGAGTACGCCTTTTGGCGTCATCTGGTCGAGCACCAATTGGGTCGAGGCTCAAAAGAAAGCCGTCCCTTGGTGTGGACCAATCAGTTTCAAGGACAATGCATATCTTATCATAGTATGCTTTTGTTTGCATTTTGACTGCAGGTATTGTGGTTAATGCAGACATGAATCCTTGTAAAAAGGTTTCAGTTTTGTTGCCAGAAAAAAGGAGAAAAACCCTATTATTAGTGCGTGTAACTGTTACTTTGTGGAAATTGTATGTGATGGTACACGCGTGTTTGTGTGCGCGCAGGCATTTTTCGATGTAATTGTAAACTTAAGGCTGCTGTATCACTCTTACATCTCACAGAAATGCATTCCCCTTGCGTAAATCCGGTAGAGACTCAAAAATGGGAGAAATCTTGGCCTACGCAAGTTCGGTACCCGGGCGCCAGATTCTTCGTGGACCTCGCCGCTGCCAAATTGGAGCAGCGCAAAAAGATATTTCAAAAGTACCGTCCTTCAAACAAATGTCCTAATTTTTCACAATGACGAGGGGAAAAGCAGTCAACATTAAAATTAAAGTTTCCAAAAAATGAAAGTTCAACCCAAACCAAAATATATAAATTTGGCCTCGTGGGCCTTTTGGCATCGCAACCGCCATTTTGTGTCAGTTGGCAGCCATTAGGAGGCATAAGGGGTGCAGCACTCTCATTAGATCTTCAGCACTTGAACAGACGTGTACCTTTTTTTTTTTAAAACACAACTCCCGCGTAAAGATTATTTTATTTGTCTTCTTTTAGACTGTGTAACGGCAGAAAACACCCCCTCCCTCCCACACACCCTACATCCCTCTAAAAAAAAAACCCCCCGCAAAGTCACCTTCTTTTACTCTCCTCCAACAACCTAGACCGGGCCTCAGGCTTGTGGGAGGTGGATGAGGAGGGGGTAGCCCTTTCCTCGCGAGCGTGGAAATAAATAAAAACCCCCCCACAACACGCCTCGGCACATATAAACACCGCCGTCGCGTTAATTCATAAGGCACCGCGAAGCACGCAGCTGGGTCGTCCCTGACCGCCCCCCACACTATTCGTACCTTCATCGCGGCTTCGTCTTCCTCGCTCGCGACGAACCCCGCCATGTTTTAGGCGATTCGCGTTTCTCTCCTTTTGTCTTCGCGCGGATTTTCCCCCCACCCCCTTCCACCGCCGGCTACATCGCAAATCTTTGCTCAACGGGCGCTGCTAAACGAAGGGCACAAGTTTGCGCCGCAGTTTAAAAAAAAAATTATATACGCTTTAATTTAACAAAAAAACACAAACACTCACCACAGCCACCAACACCAAAGGTCCCGCGTCAACTTGTTCACGTAAATTTGATCGATTTGCGAAGGCGGCAAAAGCGCGCGAAGATGCGGCCGCGAGTTTGTTAATCACGCCACTGCCACCACCTCCCCTCGTCAAGGCGACTAACTTTGTTCTTTCCCCTCAATGCTTCGCCTCCATTTCGTCACCACCACCACGAACGCGGAGAACGGGCGGCCTCAAAGGAAGAATGAGAGGGGAGAGTGCGCACGGGGGGCGGCGAACGGCAAACGAATGCCGCGAACTCTCCCGCTTGCCTCCCTCCTCACGCAACGAAAAATAAAAGAACGAGGTGGGTGAGCGGAGTAGAGGGCGAAGACGACGTTGAGACGTGCGGTGACGGTGGGGGTGCCGACAGTCAGTGAAGTGGGGACGAGTTAAAGCGAACCCGGCGATTACCTCTAGCGAGCGAGGCTCCCTCACTGCGTGGTGTGTGTCTCTACGTCACGTCCTGCTCTTAAAGGCGCACCCCCCACCACCTATCATCACCACCACCACCTATCACCACCACCACCTATCATCACCACCACCACCTATCATCACCACCACCACCTATCATCACCACCACCACCCACCACCACCTATCATCACCACCACCACCCACCATCACCTATCATCACCACCACCCACCACCTATCATCACCACCACCACCCACCACCACCTATCATCACCACCACCCACCACCACCTATCATCACCACCACCACCACCTATCATCACCACCACGCCGCTCACTATCAACGCACAATAACATAAACCCCCAAATGTAGATTTGAAGTTTTCGTGACTGCAGGGATCCATAATCTTTGGTTCTTTCGGTAAAGTCACGTGGGTAGAAAATACATTCAATTAAATCACGACGTTTCGGACGCAGCACACGAGCGTCCGTCATCAGGTGGGACAATCACAGCAATTGTTTCTTGCCACGAAGGTCACGGGCTACCACGCCGACGCCGCCGCCGCAACCGCACCTGTGCCGGGCTCGGTGCACTTTCGAGCCACGTGGAAGTCGAGACTTGATTCGAAGCTTTCGTGACTGCAGGAATTACCGAAAGAACCAAAGAAGATGCAGGAATTATTACTCTTTGGTTTTTTTCGGTAAAGTCACGTATAAATAAGAAATAATAAAATAACATAATAGCGTACGACGTTTCGGTTGCAACACAAGCAGCCATCATCAAAGATCGCTAACTTACAATTTAGCAATCTTTGAAATAGCGTAATCAACCAGACTATGCGTTAATTGTGTTCTGACCGACCGTCT